TATTGCATGAAACTTCGCAAACTTAGTACAAAATTTTTAGATTTGATGCATCTCCATTTGCATTCGTGCAGCTTTGTAAAGAATCAGTAAGTCATTTAATGAATTATGGAAAATAGAGACTTCAAGCTGTAAAATTCTTTTAGGATCATTCTGTTACGATTGTTTACGAAGTTACACTCTTTTGAAATTTGCCTATTTTTAGTGATTAGAATAGGTGATCCTTTAATTTTGGGGAGGAGTGTATCTATAAATCACACGGTTTCTATTACCAATTGACTAAGGATAAAGGACAAAGGCCATAGCACATAAAAATACTTAAGCGGTAAAACCTAAGCAGTAGTCTGTACGCAGTAGAGCCAACGCACATATAAAACTTAAACTTAATATTCAGCCAATCAGCTTTGAGCAGCCTAGTAACGCTATTGGACATGTATTCTGTTTTCGATTTCGATCTCTTTTACTTAGTGATTGCGAACTAGGTTAACATAATTGGAACGTGCAAATTTTTATCAAAGGTAATTGTTTTCTTTTTTTAATCAGTGTACATTGTACTGAACATAATATAATTATCAGAAACGATTTCTATATATAAGTAATACGATATTTATGAAGTATATGTTTGATATTTTCTTATTAAATCACTCTACTACAAATTTAAGGTTATTTGTAAATATTAATTTCTATTTTAGCTCTGAGGATTTCAAGGCTCTGAGGTTTTTGCCAGCTTTATTAGGAATTAATATACGCGATTATAGATATTATAATATATCTATAAACCAACATCAAATTGTTCGAATCACGATTTTTAAAAATGGAACACGAATATTGCACGCCAATTTATATTGATGATATAAATAATGAATCAGATGATTGTGATAAAGAATTAAAGAAAAAGGAAGCGATGAATTGTTAATCGATGCAGTAAGAGGATATCCTCATCTATATAATTTATCCTTGAAGGAGTATAAGAATGTCTAAATGAAAAGAAATTCATGGAATGAAATAG